CGACCTGGATTGTCGCCAGCAACGCCAGAACCTGGCTGCACTCGCAAAGGTTTAACACTCAGAACAGCTTGCCCTCAGATCTATTCTTCAGCTTATTCTTGGCCTTACCCTTGGCCTTGAACGAAGCCCCAGGAATGACCCCCAGATATCCGATGTATTGATGTTTTCCAGTCGCGGTCCCTGGAAGTCCCGACCCTTTCCCTTGGGCCAGTTTCTCACCCCGAGTCGCTTTCTGTCGGTCCCAGGGCTCGGGGAGGGCCTCCGACGGCCGAGAACGGCGAACATAATCCGAATCACATTGTTCAGTGTTGCATGACTTTACGACTCGAGCTCCGACGATTCCGGCCGTTGCTGGGACGAAGATCCAGAGAGCGGGGCCAGCGCCGTTCGGGGGGGGTAATGTCGCAGGCCTAGAGGTTGACACCAACACCAAGATCGGCGGTGTGCCTCCACCGACGGAAGACGATCCCGGTCTCGGAGATGGTGGTAATATTCTGGCTGCCAAGGTGACCGAAATATTACCACCAGCACCGAAATCTAGGATCATCTTCCCCCTGTGGAGGCAACGCCTTGTGTTGGTGTTGGTGCCAATTTCTAGGCCTCCAATAATGCGGGGTGGTTTAAGAAGAGGAAGGCCTCAAAGGGGCCCTTTTGGGCCCCTGCCGGCTCCCAAAGGGGCCCTACAGGGCCTTCCAGGGACCCTTTGGGGCCCTGTTCTCCGGGTGGTGCTAGAAGTGCCCCTGGCCTAAGGTGCCTTCAGGATTTTGAGGGATGCCCCCACTGCCTCCAGAGCCCCCCTCACGAGGCCTAGAGGGTCGCAGGGGATCCAACATAGTGAGCGAAAAAAAAGCTGGGGGCACCTTGAGCCAGAGGTACCTTCAGCAACCCTCGATGTCTTCACCCCCCAGTTAGAGATCCCCCATTACCGCCTTCCCGAACGGCGCTGGGCCTGCTCTCTGGACTGCGTCCCAGCAACGGGTGGAATCGTCGGATCCCGAGCCGAAGGTCATCCAGTTTGAGGGCCCCCCCAGCCAGGTCACCCGCCACTACAGTCGGACCAAGGTATAAGGTCGGGGTCAGTTCGGGGAGGGTCCCCTACTGTTCTTCGCGCCTGTTGGATGTTGTTGTTCACTCTGGGGAAGGTGCCCTTGGATGTTCTGTGCGGTTTGGCCGGCGGAGGGTCTCCTGTTCTTGAAGGATGCTCTCTCCAGAGGGTTCCAAAGGGGGGGGTGAGGGATGGGGTTTTCCAGAGAGCCCTCCAGGGGCCTCGGAACCTCGTCAAAACAGGGGGTGCGAAGCCCCTGGGGGACCCCTCCTGGAAAACCCCCTCCCCCAAAACCCAATTTGGAACCCTCTGGTCTCTGCACCACCCGCCCGCGCCAGCGCCGTCGAGCTGCGGCCCGAGCGTGTTCCGGAGGGCGGCGGGCCGCGCGCCGAGGGGGGCGCCAGGCCGGCGCAGCTCCTCGAGAGCCGCGGCCGCCCAGCGCACGTGTTGCCCCCTCGCTCTCCGCTCTGGGCCTTCCTTGATGATCGGGTCGGGCGAAAGGGGGGGGTGGGGAAAGGGGGGGTTACGAAATCTGCTGCATGTAGCTGGTTTCGGCCCCACCGAGGGGCCCGCTCCTCGATACATGGCCGCCTCCGGCGCCGGGAGGCGCCCTGAAAATCAGCTATGTGAGCTTTCAAACCCCCCCTTCGCTGTCCCCCCCTTTCGCCCGGCCCGAGACGAACGGCGCAGGAAAACGGGGTCGTCCCTGCCGTTACTCGCGCGCAAGCTGCCTGCGTAAGGTCGCGCGCGAGCGCCCTCATCTCCAGTGCGGCGAGCCGCGCTGGCGGCCCGCGTAGGCCGCCGCGTATGGTCGCCATGTCACCTCGCGCAGGACCTGCTTCTTCTCGTCGCTCAGATGTGGTCGCAGGATCGCGCCGCATCGCCGAAGCATCGGCGATGTGATTCGCCGTGGAGCCCAATTTCCCCCACTGCGGCGCTATCCTTCGACCCCATCTGCTCCGACCCCGTCTGGGAGGCATCTTTCCATTGGAGTCGCTGCTTATGCGTCTTGCCCTCACTGCCCCTCCTGCTTTTTTTCCATCTTCGCGAAGGACCGAAAACAGCATACATGTAATTTCTCGGGAGTCCGCGCGGATTTCTTAGATGGGCGTTGGGTGCCGCTGGTGCCGCCTTCGGCGCCGCCCTTGGCGCGCTCCGCGAGCGAGGGAGAGGAGTCCAGCGCCGATCCAAGAAATTATCGCGGACCTCCGAGAGATTATGCTTATGCTTATGTGGACGCGAGGACGGACGACGACATACGACGACGACAACGACGACGACGAACGACGGAAGACGACGGACGTAGGACGACGACAACGACGACGACAGACAACGACGACAGACTGCGACGACGACGAAAGACGACGACGACGACGACGACGGCAACGACGGCGACGACGACGGCGACGACGACGACGACAACGACGACGGACGACGACGACGACGGGAGACCGACGGACGACGACGAAGAAGATGACGACGGCGGCGACGACGACAACGACGACGACGACGGACGACGACGCCGACGACGGACTACGGACGACGACGGACGCCGACGACGGACGACGGACGTCGACGCCGTCGCCGACGACGACGTCGACGTCGCACGACGACGACGATGACGACGACGACGGCGACGACGACGACGACGGACGACGGCGACGGACGACGGACTACGGACGACGACGACCACGGACGACGACGGAGGACGACGACGACGACGACGACGACGGCGACGGACGACGCTGACGCCAACGACAACGACGACGACGGACGGCTACGGCGATAGACGCCAACGACGATGATGACCGACGGCGACGACGACGGACGACGGACGAGGGACGACGATGACGACGACGACGACTTGGACGACGACGACGCGGACTACGGACGACGGTCGACGGACGACGGACGACGGGGACGACGACCACGACGGACCACGACGACGACGGCGGACGACGGAAGACGTCAACGACGACGATGACGGACGGCGACGACGACCGACGACGACGACGACGATGACGGACGACGACGACAAACGACAAAGGTCGACGACGACGAAGACGATGACGACGACGACCGACCGACGACGACGACGGAGGGCGACGACGGATTCGACGACGACGATAATAATAATAATAATAATCATGATGATGATGATGATGATGATGATGATGATGATGATGATGATGATGATGATGATGAGTATGATGAGTATGATAAGGATTATAATGGTGATGACGGTGACGATGGTAGCCGATGGTTGTGGTTGTGAGGATGGGATTGATTGCTGTGGTGATGGTGATGGTGATGGAGACGATGATGAGGATGATGAGGATGCTGATAATGACGGTGCTGATGATGATGATCATGGTGGTGGTGATGGTGATGATGGTGATGTTGGTGACGATGATGATGATGCTGACGATGATTATGACGATGAGTATGAGTATGATTATGAGGATGACGATGGGTCTGCTTATGATGGTTATGCGTATGATGATGCTGGTGGTGATCATAATGGTCGTGGTGATGATGATGGTGATGGTGATGATGTTGGTGATGAGGAGTTTGAAGGGACTGAGGGGAGGAGAATGGGAAGATACAGAATGAGGAATGGGATGAGGAGTACGACGACGACGGACGACGGACACGACGACGATAACGACGACAACGACGGGCGACTGCGACCGACGACGACGGACGAGTGATGACAGGGACGTTTGTTGTCGACAACGACGTCGACGGATGACGACGTCGACGGATGACGACGGACGACAAGAATGGCGGCAACGACGACGACGACGGACGACGACGATGTCGACGACCACCACGACGAGAAAAAGAAGACGGACGACGACGGACGACGACGACGATGGCGACGACGACGACAACGACGCCGAGGACGACGACGACGACGATGACGACGACGACGACGACGACGACGACGACGACGGACGACGGGCGACGGACGACGACGGCGACGACGACGACAACGGCGACGACGGACGACGACGTCGACGACGACGACGACGAAGACGACGGAAGACGACGACGACCACGACGACGACGGACGACGACGGACGGACGACGCCGACGACGACTGTGATGATGAGTGTGATGATGAGTGTGATGATGATGATGATGATGATGATGATGATGATGATGATGATGATGATGGTGGTGGTGGTGGTGGTGGTGGTGGTGGTGGTGGTGGTGACGACGACTAAGATAACGACGATGATGGTGATGCCGGTGATGATGATGGTGATGGTGATGATGTTTGTAATCATGATGGTTATGAGTATGGCGATGCGGGTGTTGATGGTGATGGGTTGTGGTGATGATGATGGTGATGGTGATGCTGGTGGTGATGAGGAGGATGAGGATAATGAGGGGAGGGTAATGGGCATGTAAATAATGAGATAGGAGGCGTACGACGACGACGACGACGACGACGGCGGCCACGGGTATGAGGAGGACGAGCAGGATGATGGCATGTGTGAGTGGAAGTAGGAGAACAGGGGGAGGACGACGATGACGATGATGCTGATGATGAGGATGAGGACGAGAAAGAGGAATATGATGAGGATGTGAAATAACAAGGGATGAGGAGAAGGAGGAGGAGGAGGAGGAGGTGGGACGAGGCGAATGAGAACTCCGCAGAAGGCGTAAGAGCCAGAATAGGGCGTGGAGGGAGTGGGAGATGAGACGAGCGAGAAGTTGGAGGGTGGAGGGATGAGGACTACGGAACGAAGAAGGGGAGCAGAGCAGGAGGGGGAGAATTGGCTGCAAGGGGGGCCGAGGTGGAGGCTGGGGAGACAAGGGGCAGGAACCGCGTCTGAGAATCCAGCACACCTTCGCTGTCACGGAGTCCGCGCGGGCCTTTCGATTGGCTGGGTGACTTGTCGTGGATTCCCGGAGCTCCAGTCCCATCCAGTCCTTCGCCTCCTCCTGGCGCTGGCGGCCGGCCTGTCGCTACGAGCGACTGGGGCCGTGGGTCCAGGGCGGCCGACAAGCCAGAGAGTTGCAAGCAAAACGTAAAGCGGGAGGAGGAGCAGGAGGAGGAACGACCGAACGGCGGAACGACGCCCAAATTACTCCTCCGCCTCCTCCTCCGCCTCTTCCGCCTACTCCTCCTCGGCCTCCTCATCCTCCTCCTTCTCCATCGCCTCCTCCTCCGCCTCCTTCGCCTCCCTCTCCGCACGACCACGAATCGTCAGCACGGGAACTTGCAACTACCCAGATTTTAGGCGTACCGTCCCATCCGTTATCCCCCCACGCCACGCAAGGCGCTGCAAATAACACGGGGACGGTGCGGCGCAGCTGGCGTTAAAATTGTTAAAGCAGTTTTCGCTGAAGGGATCGCGCGCATGGAGTGCGCGTGTCGTGCGATCCCATTGGACACTTAGGTCTGACAAGCGTCTTCCCTCGATCCAACGAGAAGTTGAAGTTGTTGGGCTCTGGAGAGGTCCAATTCTCCCTGTCACCCCTAGGGTGGCCTACTGTGGCGCAGGTCCCCCTGCCAACCCTGGGGTGGAGATGGCCGCAGGCTATATCACATGGAGTTAAGGCGCCCCTGAAGCCATATCACTTCAAGTCCTCAGCCTCCTCCCCCGCGGGCCCACCAAGGTTCCCATAAGGTTGGAAGGGCGCCCGTAGGATTACAGGCAGGTTCCAACGCGCGGGGGGGCGTCTGGAAGATTCCAGGGCCCCCGCAGGGTTCCCAGCTCTTTCTTGAAGAGCGAAGTGTGGGTGCAGTTACGTCAACGCGTTGGAACTTGAGCTTGCTCGTGGGGCAGGGCTAGGCGACCTGCAACAGGTGTTGCGACCACACCACGTGGTGAGTCAGTGGGGACTCGGGGTCACCGCAGGGATTTTCGAACTCGGGTCGTCCTCCGAGGACGTCTCGGACTGCCGGGGCCTCCGAGGTCCAAAGGCCCGCAAAGTGTCGACATGGCCTTCCAAGGCCCTCGCATCCTTATCGTGCGTCCTTCTTATGCGGGATGACTGTACCGATGCAGTCAGAACGAGGTATAAGATCGAGGTCGGTTCGGGGAGGGTATCCTAATGTTATTTCTGTTTGTTGGATGTTCTTGTGCACCCTGGGGAGGGTACGCTTGAATGTTGAGTGTGCTTTGGCCAGCGGAGGGCCTTGTGTTCTTGAGGGATGTTATTCTTCCCCAGGTTCGACTGTGTCGCTGCTCGTCCTGCAGATTCGTCGTCGCCACATCTGGATGATCATCGAGGTTCTGTTCAGGGCGCACCCCAGGAGAGATCCAGGGAGTGGCGGAATCGGTTGTTGTTTTTTGTGCAGGCACGTCCACGGATAGTGCATGGATAGCTCTTGGAGAGGCTTTCAGGTTAGAAGCCAGCAGGCAGGTGTAGGCCAGCTCCCCTCCACGGTTGCCAGTCAAAGAGCGCCGCAGCGCCTTGCCAGAAGTTACAGCGTGTCCGGGAAGCACTTCCCTACTCGTTCCCAACACGTGTGCCGCAAGCGTTTGCGAGGTTTTTGGGCAGCGCTTCGCAGGCTCGCACGCAGCTCCTTCTTCAAGCTTGCACGCTTCCCGGGTGACATTCCGAGGTTCCTTGCAAGCGTATCCCACAAGCTTGCAGGTGTGTCTCAGATTGCTCGTGTTCGTCACAAGACTGCTCCGTTATCCAGGTTTGGGACTGCGCAAGTTGTTGTTTGTGCAGACGCGCCCATGATCGGTTTGCCAACGGCCCGCGCAGCAGCACAGCATGGGGAGGCGCAAACGTACCATTTCCTCCAACACGCAGCAGCCAACACGCAGCAGCCAATCGATGGTGCGTTTGTTCCCCCACGGTCGCCGCGACTGAAAACAAAGAAAGAAAACAAACACACACACGCACACACACACACACACACGCACACACACACACACACACGCACACACACACACACACACACGCACACGCATCGCGGAAGTCGGCGGCGCGTCTGGGGGGGGGCGGAGGTGAGAGGGGGCAGGCCCGCTCAGAAGGCGGCGGGGCGCCTCAGGAGCCCTCCGGCCTGCTGAGAGGCCCACTCTGTCTGCGGAGGAGGCTCAGAGAGCAAGGGAGGACGACCAAAAAAATCACCCCGATCACCAGTGGGCGTTTACCAAAAAGCATGGGGCGTTTATTGCACAGCCCAGCCCTGTTCGATCCCTTCGCTGGGTGCGTGCGTTTTGCTCGTCGGGGCGCTCATTCTGAGGGTGGTTTTTCTGCCCTCTGAGAAAGCTCTATGGAAGGCCCGAGGCCTGCCGAGCCCTCTGAGGAGGCCCGCCCCCTCGGTGTCCCCCCCCCCGGGGCTCGCCGCCGAGGCCTGGGGCGACCCGCGCGCGGCAGCGGCGCTTCCGAGCGCGCGCGCGCGCGAGGACGAGGGCCGCGAGGCGGGGGCGACGCTGCAGCGCTGGGGCGTCGAGGGGCAGAGCAAGTGGGGAGACGGGCAGGACGGCGCCGGCCGCCGGGGGAGGAGTCGGGGGCAACGCTGGGGGGGGGGTCCAGAGATGGGGGGTGAATGCAAACGGGGGTCAGTCGGAGCGCTGGATCTCGCAGGCTCCTGCGGGGCCAGGGGCGCACTGACCCGGGTTTGGGTGCGGAGGATCCTGCAGGATTTTGCCGGATCCTGCATAGCCTGACTGACCCTGGTCTGGATGGACCCGGGTCAGTCGAATTGGGGGAGGGGTGGGCTCAAGGCGTTCGAGGGTCGAGGTTTTCGGAGCCGGGGCAACGTTGGGGGGGACCCAGGGCAACGTCCGAGGTTCGAGGTTCAGGACCTCCTCCTCCTCCTCCTCCTCCTCCTCCTCCTCCTCCTCCTCCTCCTCCTCCTCCTCTTCCTCCTCCTCCTCCTCCTCCTCCTCCTCCTCCTCCACCTCCCTCCTCCTCCTCCTCCTCCTCCTCCTCCCTCCTCCTCCCGGGATTGGGGGCAGCTTTAGGGGTGGTGCGTCGATCAGGGGGATGGGCGCAGGGGCTTCCAGGTTCCAGGTATTCGGGCGTTCCCGTCGGTTCCTCGGCGGTCTTCCAGCCTCGCCTCGCCGGCAGCGTTCCAGGGGTGCCCGGATCGTCCCGAACGGCCGCCGCAGAGCCGAGCTGTGGCCCGACAGCCACGGGGTATCTCTCGGGGAGGGGGACAGGCTCATCAGGCGATCACAAACATGGATCAAGGGGGCGTGGATCAGCGACGGGTCCCGTTTTCATGGGGCATCGCGGATTTCCGACGCCGAGCGAGGCGGCACGGGCCGCATTTTGGGGAGGGCCCTTCCTCCGATCCGTGGATTTGGCGACCGCGCGCCAAATCCATAGATCGCTAATCCATGTTTGCGGGCCCCCGAGCTCAGGGGCTCTGCATCGACCCCCAATCGCTCACTGATCGCCGATGGGCCCGATAGCCCACCCCGCCCAGGACCGTGCGGAGTTGCTATTGGAGGGGGGGGGGACATCTCTGGTCTTTCGACATGGTATCGCCGATTCCAAGTCAATGTCCCCCCCCCCTGAGTCGGCCCCACCCCCCCTACCGTTCCCTTTCAGAAGAGCAAGAAGAGGCGGCAGGGAGGACTGATCGGTGCGATCGAAATTGGCACGGAAAGAATGGCTGCGAAGACTGGCAGCAGCTCCTGCTCGTTTTGGACCGGATTCGCTGTCGGTGTCGCCGCGCACGTCGTCCACTTGAGACGCGAGCGCGCCTGCTCCACAGCGGCCGCTGTTGTTTTGGACTTCGCTGTTGGGCATCGTATCCAGTGTTTCCGTACCCGTTTGCAGCGTCCTAATTCCTGGAGCCCGCACCAGGTGAATGGGCGCCGAATCCCAAGGAGGTGTTCGCAGACTGTGTTTCTCTGGGCGTCAGAGTGCTTTAACACATTGTGGGCCTTTCGAAGTCGGCATGTTGAGCACGTCCATCAACGTTTCATGGCCACGAGTTATCGCTCAATGTTTAAGATTCGTAGAGGAGGCAGGAGGAGGAGCTGGAGGTGGAGGACGAGGAGGAGGGGGGGACCACCACCTCCCCTCGGTGCGAAAGTCTTCGGTCGTCGTCCACGACGTCCCGCTGGCCTTGGTGACATCGTCGAGCTGGTCACGCTGCTTCTGGGAGCTGCTGCTTGCTGCCACTGTTGCGTGCCCTCCCCGTGAGCCCACCTTACGTCACTTGTACATCAAGTGCGGGGGGGCAGGATAGTTCCCCCCCGCCATGTCCTCATGAGCACGAGGCTGGAGCGGCGTCTTACGTGCCATGATGCTGCGGGTGATGTCGCTCATCGTGCTGCTGGTGTCCGTTGTGCTGGCCACCGTCATTCTGCTGGTGTCCGTCGCGCTGGATCTACTTAGAGGGGTTGCTGTCCCAGCCGTATGGCCACTAGCGCGACATCGTCGAGTCCAAGACCCACCGGAATGGCAGCGTTGAAGTCATACCCGGAATAGTCACGGGAGGCCGTCGGAGCAAGAAGGCGTAGCGGTCCAGACGGGCCGCGCGTCAGTGGGAAGATACGTGAGACGGTCCAGACGGGCCACGCGTTAGTGCGCAGATACGTAAGACGGATTTCCTTTTTTGGCGCGCGGAGCGCGCCAGGGGCGGCGCTGGAGGCGCCGCGAGGGGGGCCCAGCGCGGATCCAAGAAATCCGCGCGGAGCGCCAAAAGTATGTTTATGCTGTCTCGTCTTCTCGTCTTCTTCGATCTCAGGTCTCAAGGGTGGGCGTTCGTGTACTCGGACGCCTTTCTGTGCGCTCGCCCGGGCCCCCCATTCTCCTTCGCCCTTCCCGCCGAGCCGCTTGGGATCGGCGGTGCACCCCTGAGGGGAAGGCAGAGGCCGTGGGCCTCCTCGGAAGACTCGGATCTCCACCCGGTCTGCTGATCAGCTTCCCAGATCTCGGGGGCCCCCAAACGGGGTGGTGACCACACACCGTGTGGTGAGTCGGTGGGGATTCGGGGTCACCGCACGGTTTTGGGACCCGGGTCGTTCTCCGAGGATGTCTCGGGCGACTCGGGCCTCCGGGGTCCCAAAGCCGTGCGTTGACGGACCGTGCGGTGAGGTCTTGGGGGATTTCGAGGTCACCGCACGGTCTGTCACCGCACCGTTTCGGGACTCAAAAAAACCTTCCCCGAACACTTTGAGCCTGGAAGCCCCTGAAGTTGCTCCTGGTTAGTCCCTCCTGAGCCTCGAGAATATCCGGAAACCCTCGAACATCGGAACGCCTCGAGCTTACCCCCCGAAATGATAAAATAATAACAATTACATAAGCATAAACTTTTGGCGCTCCGGGCGGAGCGCCAACAGTTTACGTTCATGCCGTTGTTCTTCGTTGACAAGCCTTCCCCGAAGACAGCGACGACTTCTCAGAAGGCTGGCAGGTTTCTAAGAAGCCCCGCCGCATTCGAGACGGCCTGCTTCCTCTCACTTCCCCCCTCGGCGCGCGGCCGATTGGATTTCCCTCTCTGCCCCCCCCCCGCCTAAGCACTGCCCTCCTTCCCCCCTCCCTTGCCCTCCCCCCCCCCACTCCTACCCCCCTCCCTCGCCCCCCCTCCCTCGCCCCCCCTTCCCTCGCCCCCCTCGAGGGAGGAGCGCCCCGCTCCCTCGCACCCCTCCCTACCCCGTGCCCCCGCCCAGACACTGCCCTCCCCGGGCGGACAGCAGCTGTGCTGCACGCTGGCGCGGACGAAGCTATCGGCCACGCGCTTCCTCCAGATACCTGACATGTTTCATCTGCATGTTGCGAGCGAAGTGTGTGCGAGGGACTCGGGCGGGGCTAGGACGAGGAGAAACCCGTCCCAGAGCGTCCCAGAACGCTCCCAGAGCGTTCCGGAACGCTCTGAGAGGGCCGCGGCGCTTGATGTATCTTATAGAACCGCCAGATCTCAGAGATTTCCCGACTTGTCCTCGCACAGTTCTGGCTTTGTCTCAGAGACTAGTCGCGAGATTTACCTGGCGAGTGTTGGGTGGAGATCCAGCAGCTCGCTGGCCCGGCCAGTGCCGGGCCCATTATGCCTCGCTCGGAGGTTGATAGACCTCCTACCCTGACACGTCGATTGGCGAATTGGCCGTTTTCGGTTCGCGAGAGCCCGTCATTCTTGCGGGTCCAGGTCCGTCGGTTTCGGTCCTAGGCCGTTTTCATTGGAGGGTGGTTTACCAAAGGGAGGATTGTCCACCGCCGACTCGCCCCTGGGCCCAGGATGAGCCTGGCCAGGATCGGTGCAGGCTGGCGTCTCACAGGAGGACAAGAAGCACACAGACACAAATAATCTTCGGTTGCATTGAAGATGTGGGAGGCGGAGGGGGAGACGAACATCCAGGAACGTGGCGAATCCTGTGGTGATATGTATATATGTATATGTATATATATATATATATATATATATATATATATATATATATATGTATACCGCTACAGGGCCGGGGGCTCCCTGGCCAACACCGCAACCCCCCATGGGGGGATCGGGCCTCCGGGAGCGCCCTTGTCCGGCCCAAGAGTGCCCCAAGAGCGCTCCGCGAAAGGCCCAGCAGGCTCCAAGAGGCCCATGAGGGCGCCAAGAGGGCCCCAAGATGCCCAAGATAAACCCAAGACGGCCAAAGAGGCTCCCAAGACGCTCCAAGAGGCCTCCAAGAGGTCCCCCCAGAGAGCCCCCAGAGGCCAAAATCGTGCATTTTACGAAGGTTTTGGACACATGTTGCCTTTCCCGCCTTTTCAGCTTTCCGACGCTCCACGACGGCTCACAGGCCTCCCGTAGACGCCCCAAGACAGCCCAAGAGGCCTCCAAGAGGCCCTCAAGACGGCTCGGGAGGGCCCCAAGACGGTCCAAGACGCGCCCAAGACGGGCGAAGAGAGGCCCAAGACGGCCCCAAGAGGGCCCCAAGAGGGGAGCCGCGAACCGGAAATTCCAGCCTCCCGCCTCCACAGGGCCCCGGGAGGCCCCAAAGGGGCGCCAAGAGGCCCCAGCAGACCCCCAAGATAACCCAAGACGGCCAAAGAGGCCCCGAAGACGCTCCAAGAGGCCTCCAAGAGGCCCCCCCAGAGGGCCCCAAGAGGCCAAAATCGTTAATTTTACGAAGGTTTTGGACACATTTTGCCTCTCCCGCCTTTTCCTCTCTCCGACATTCCACGACGGCTCACAGGCCTCCCGCAGACGCTCCAAGACAGCCCAAGAGGCCTCCAAGAGGGCCTCAAGACGGCTCTGGAGGGCGCCAAGTGGTCCAAGACGCGCCCAAGACGGGCGAAGAGAGGTCCAAGACGGCCCCAAGAGGGCCCCAAGAGGGGAATCGCGAACCGGAAATTCGAGCCGGGCCCCAAGAGTCCCCAGGAGACCCCCAAGATAACCCCAAGATGGCCAAAGAGGCCCCGAAGACGCTCCAAGAGGCCTCCAAGAGGCCGCCCCCCCAGAGGGCCCCAAGAGGCCAAAATCGTTGTTTACAACAGGTTTTGGATACATGTTGCCTTTCCCGCCTTTTCAGCTTTCCGACGC